AATTAAAAAAAAAAAAAAAAAAACCACAGGAGATATTGACAAAAAGCAAATAGATATGTTTAAAATGAAATATTTAAATTGCAGTTGCATTCCCTATGCAAGACCTATGCATTCAAAACTACCAAATATTACTGAGATGAATTTTTATAGACTTAAATAAATTGAGAGATACACTATGTTTGTGAATCGGAACACTCAATATTGTTAGTATTTCAATGACCCACAGATTCAAAGTAATACCAAACAAAATCCCTGTAGGCTTTTGTGCAGAAATTGGCAAGCTGATTCTAAAATTTATATGAAAATATCAAGGACCAAAACATTATGAAAAGGAAGAACAAAGTTGGAAAACTCACAGTACCTGATGTGAACACTTAATGTAGGCTATAGTAATTAAGACAGTGCGGTATTCGCAGATAGACCAACGCTTATGTGCTCAACTGTTTTTGACAAGGGTGCCCAGGTAAATCAGTGAAGAGACAGTCTGTCCAAAAATGCTGCTTGAACAATTAAATATGCATATGCCAAAAAAAGAAGAAAAACAATGACCCTTGCCTCATACCAGGTAAAAATATCCATCTCATTATTGGCCATAAGCCTAAATATAAGAGCTAAAATTATAAATCCTCTGAAATAACACATATGAGAAAATCATTGTTACCTTGGGTTACAGAATTATTATATAGGGCACAAAAAGCATGAACCATAAAAGAAAAACTTGATAAACTGGACTTTATCAAAATCAAAAATGTCTTTTTATGGAAAGACACTGTTGAGATAAAATCAAGCCACAGCATGGGGGTAAAAACTTGGAAAACACATAGCTGATAGAGGGCTTGCATCCGGAATATATAAAGAACCCTCACAACTTAATAATAACAAAAATGGCAACAGATTACAAGAAACAGTTCACCAAAGATGTATAGATGGCAAATAAACACATGAAAAGATGCTGAACATCAGTTACTGGAGAAATGCAAATTAATATCACAATGAGATACTCTTGTACAGCTACTAGAAAGAAAGACTAACAATATTAATAATACCAAGTGCTGCAAAGTAGCAAAACACCGTAACTCTCATATGCTGCTGCTGGGCATCCAAAATGGTACAGTTACACTGGAAAACAGTTTGGTAGTGTCTTGTGAAGTTGAACATACACTTACCACATGACCAAGCAATCCCACTCTAGATATTTACCTAAGAAATAAGAAAATATATGTCCACACAAAGACCTGAACATGAATGTTCATACCAGCTTCTTTCATAATAACCAAAAGTTGGAAAAAATTCAAAAGTGCATATCCTGGTCTATGGATAAGCAAATGGAGTATCATTCAGCTACAAATAGGAACAAACTGCTGATACATGTCACAACATGGATGAACCTAAAAAGCATTAAGGTAAATGAAAGAAGCAAGATACATAAGGCTACATACTATAAGATTCATTTATATGACATTCCAGAAAAAACAAAACTAGAAGAAGAAACAAGATCAGGTGTGGGAGTAGGGGAGAAGTTTAATTGTAAAGGGGAACAAGGGAATGTTTTAGGGGGAATGAAAATGTCCAATATCTTGATTGTGGTGGTGTTTAAATGACTATATATTTGTTAAACCTATAGAACTGTACACTTAAGAGAGGTGAACTTCATGGTATATAAATTATACCTCAATAAACCTCATTTTAAAGAAAAGAATGCGGTTACATCAGAATAAATATATCATGACAATACATGGAAAATGCATATGGAAATTACGTTAAAACATTACCATATACAACCCACTATCATATTGTGCTATTTATGCATTTCCTTTTATTAAACTACCTGTTAAGCATTAAGGATAGAAAAAATACTAACAAATATTTAATTCTAGTTAATGATATGCCTGTGGGAATATTTAGGTGTGAAGTGTACTGATCTCCACAACTTACTTTGAAATGCATCCCACACAAAAAATAAGGGAGATTGATGGAACAACAGAGGAATTAGTACACAAATAGGAGATAAAGCAAATATAGCAAAACATTCATTGTAGAATCTAGGTGGTATTATATGGATGTTCAAACCATAATTCTTTTGCTTGTTTTGTCTGAAAATTTTCATAATAAAATGTTGGGGGAAAAAGGAGCTGATAAAGAACAGCAAAGTAAGCTCAAAGAAGTAGAAGTAGAAATAAAAGTAAAAGGAAAACGGAAAACACACAATAGAGAAAATTAACAAAGGTAAAAGTTCTTTCTCTGAAAAGCTCAACAAACTTAAAATAATAAATATGACAGTGAGGCTACTCTTGATACTTGGATCTTGATAGAAGATTTTTATTATCTCAGAATGACCAGAGAATTTGTGAGACCTGCCAGAGATTTCATCCAGGGGCTAGAGGAGAATACAGGCCCTGAAGTAGCTTAAAGAATGGAGGAATGGGGGAGGAAAACCAAGCTGCTGCGCTCCTGTTTTCCATCCCACCTGACCTGTGCTCCTAGGTGATCGCCTTGCTAAGTCTCCCAGTCCTTTGAACCCTTCACAGCGGACATTTAAAGCAATGAATCTGAACCAGACAGGGGCTTCACAACTATATGGGTTGTTATTCACAACGTGCATAACTAGGCCTACCCCAGATTTCTGAAACAATTTATAGAGGGTGGGGCCTACTCATGAGTATCCCAAGGGTTCCACAGGTCACTATGTGATACACCTCCAGTTGACGACCACTACGTTTAAAAGAATATTCCGTATGGCTAATAACAATAATAAAAAGAGTGATAATATATATTGAGAACTTCCCTTATTCCAATCACCCTTTTTGGTGCTTTACATTCATCAACTCATTAAATTCTGACAATCCTGTAAATTCTAGCATTAGCCCCATTCTACAAACAGGCAGAGAAAGGCTAAGCCACGTGTGCAAAGTGACAGCTTGTGACTGAAGAAGCCAGAATCTGAATCCAGGCTGTGAGCTCCAAAGCCCAAGCTCTTCACCACTGGGCTGTGGAAGAATAACAAACCTCCTTCCTCTGCTCCGGTCCAAAACAATGAAAGCAATACTTATCCAGTGCTTCTACCAGCACCGCCCCCCTCCC